CTCTCTCTCTCTCTCTCTCTCTCTCTCTCTCTCTCTCTCTCTCTCTCCCCCTTGTGTCAAGTTGACACAGAAAACCAGGCAGTGCAAGGCCCTTGTTCATTTTCTATCATAAGGACACTCCGAAGAGGTAACATACAGAAAAGCATTTTATAGAGTACAGTTTTGGAAGCTCAGAGACAAGGCATCAGTGTTGGTTCAGCTCTGGGAGGATCTCATGGAGAGTGACATCACAATAGGGGTAAGGTAAGCAAGAGGGAGAGATCACATGGGGAAGCACCAAGCCAAAGCCAGTTGGGAAGCCTGGCTTGCTCTCTGTAACAGCCATCTCTGAAGAATTCACTCAAGTTTCTGCAATAACTACTTTTAGTACCCCTAAGGGTAGCGTCCTCCCTGAGACCTACTCAATTTCCCCTTGGCTTCACCAACAGGAAGGCCTCATCATCTTTCAAATACATAACCTGTTTAAGAGCAAACAACATCCAAAACAGCTACCTGTTCAAATGAATAATAAAAAGTTACAGTAATAAATAAAAACAAAAATAAAACCAACTGCAACAAAATCCTTATATTACAAACCTTGGTTCCAACCCCCATGCTTAGCAATAATTAGACTCCTACTTCCCTTAAGTCTCTGGAAACCTACAAAAAAAGATAAAATACAGTCTTATGCCTTTTCACTTTTATAATTTTGTCATCAAGTGCATGAAGAAAAGAAAGAGACAAAAAAAATAGAGAGATGCAGGAGATACACAGAGAGAAAGAGAAAGCAAGGGAGGGAAGGAAGGAGAAAGTGTCACACAGAGATGGGGCGGGCATCAGGAATATGTGAATGTGCAGAGGTCGGAAGATACTTCCAGAAGTTGCTTATCTCCTTCCCCTGTGGGCTCCAGGGATTAGAGTCCAACAGCCAAGCTTGCACAGAAGATACTTTGAGCCACCTCCCCCTTTTCTTACTTAGACAAAATACCATATCACATATAGTTTTTATTCCTCCTATCTTTGGTCTTTTATTTGCTAAAGTAATTTTAAAAGGATCATAGATATGTTATGCCACCTTCTCAGTCTTGAATGTGTATCTACTTCCGAAAAAGGAAATCCTGCTGTGCAATCATGATACCACTACTACACAAAATAAACAAAGTTATTGATGCTTGTAGCCGCCCGAGCTGCCTCACGTTCTGGGGGCCACTTTGCAATGGCCCGTTCTGCTGTTCTGGTCCACGGGTCAGGGCCTAGCAAGAGAGAGAGTGGGGACGGAGACGCGAAGAATGGAGACAAGACAGGGAGTCTGATCAAGTCTCTCAAGTCTCGTTTATTGGAAGGAAATCTTGGGTATTTATACCCTTTACCACGTGCCTTGCCCTCGTGGACAAGCACAGCTGAAGGCACTACGTCATGTGCCTTGCAGCGTGGATATCACGTGCACCTAGCTAGCAGTGAGGAGACCACGTGCACTCAGCAGCGTGGAGACCACGTGAACCTTGCAGCTGGTAGCACTAAACAGCAAAACAAGATATGTGAGAAAAACAAGATGTTTATCAGAGTGTGCTCAGCTGTTGTTGTAGGCTGTTGAAAACAAGTCTCTTGTCAGGGTATATGGCCTGAGATGGCTGCAAAGATGATAGCTGCTTTCGGCTGAGTTGGCTCCCAACAGATGCTCTTGTACACTTCATGTACTAGACTACAATCACATTCTTCTATATCGAAAACATTATTTAATTGATTTGTCTTGATTCAGACTCTCCATGCAGCTGATGGTTGTATCCTGACGTCGCTTTTAATTGATGATAGACTTTCCTTCCTTTCCCAGGAACTTGCTGGTTCCATAAATCCATTTTCTGTGAACTGGTCTACATTCACTCTGGCTTGTCTGCGTTCTTGTATTATCTTTTACTTTAGTTCCTGTTTCCATTGTAGTTCCTGAAAGCGGTATTCAGCTCTAGAGGTTGGGTGAGCTT